ACATATGTATATATATATATACATACATACATACATACATACATACATACATATATATATATATGTGTATATATGTATAAATGCCACAATAATCACATTTTATGAATTTCAATGCCATTTAAGGCCTTGATTTAAACTAAATAATTTAATGACAATGATTTTTAATGACCTGCAGAAACCCTGGACTTAGTTTTTTTTTGTTCTTGGGAAAGACAATTTCCTATACCTAAAAAAATATGCTTAAAAAATGCTTTAGTTCTTAAACAGGGAGCTTTGGAGAGATTACCCCCTCTGATAAAGTTCTTCTTTCTGCTCATGAGGGTTTGATTAAATAAATGTTACTTCTTTATACCCCCTATTCAGAAATACATTAAATTATATTTATAATTGGGAGAGTGATAAACACAATAAATGGGGAGTGGTGGCCTAGTAGTTGGGGCATAGAGGTTGGAATCCTGAGGTTCTGAGTTTGAGCCCCACTCCCACAGACTGCCACTCTGGTCTCTGCGCAAGACCCTAAACCCCACACTGCTTCCCGGATGCCCCAAGATGGCAGCCCACTACTCTCCAAGGGGATTGGTTAAATGCAGGATAAATTTCTCCAATGTGAGATCAATAAATATTATCGTAATTAAATGATATATTTCATTAACTACACACATTTCTATGAGTTCAATTTGTAATTTTACTAGATTTTATTAACCTATTTATTCTTTTATGATGAAGATACAGTTCTGTTCAGCGTCCCGCCTCTTTCTCACAGATTGTGTCATTTAAAACTAAATCGATGTTCTGAGAGTTAACTGGAGAAGAAGCCATTGCTTGACTTGTGGTTGATGGAAAATGGGCCTCCAGGCTTAATCGTCAAAAGGTGCTGAAAACACTAATTAATTAGAAAAGTAAAATATTAATATATTCCTGTAAATTAACAGATACATTTGGGCATTAGAGATTTTATTCTAAATAACTATTTACATAATATAATTATCCAAAGTATATGCATTTAAAATGAATTTTCCAAACATTTACAGCATAATGACATTTAACTTGAATATAAAAAACTTTAATGTTCCTATTGTCTGAAATACGTCACCCAATGTGAAATCACCTATTGTTGACAAAACATATTTTTTAAAACATGATATCCTAACAGATACCATTTGTTCCCCAATGGTCCAAATGTACAAAATGAAATAATTTTGATTAAAAACTTCTGGAATAATTCTGGAAAACAATTTCTTTTTTGTAATTCTTGGCATCTAAATGCCTTTGATTTGATTATCAGCCTTACCAGGTGCTGCTTTGGGGTTTTTATTTATGTTGTTTGTAATCAAATGATGTTAGTTACAAATAATTTCCTAATCAAAATGCTTTTTTTATTTTTTTATTTCCTAAACTGAACTTATCAAGTTAAATTCTTTAAAAAAAAGCATGTTTTTTTTTTTTTTTTTACAGAGGTTTGAAACTAAAATGATTTTTTTATGATAATGATATAAAAGGGCAAAATTTACTTTTAGATGTTTTTCATACTGAGGAATATGCTTTAAACCTTATAAAAATGCCACTGGAGTAAAAGAACACCAATGTCTCTCCATTTTTACTGTTTTTCCAGGCACAGCTTTGAAGCACCCAGCATAGATAATCCCACCTGATGGTTTTATCGTGTGTTAATTCAAGCATCTCTTGCGGCTTTCTCACCTTGTGGCCAGCAGGTGGCAAAAACGCATCTCACTGGAAGTTACCGCCTTCCAGCGAGAACTCTGAAAGGACCTCGTTCAACTTGTGATGCTCCTCTTCCACAGCCTGAAACCCAGAAAATCAATATCATCTCAGGAATTGAGAACAAACTCACTTACTGACATACGCAATTCAGCCTCCTCCTCTTAACATCCACCTTTCGTCTCCCTCGCCGCTTCCCTGACACATCCCATTGCAAACGCCGGACATAATGGCCATTTTTAGACAAGTCCAATTTCACAAGGCAATTTTCAGCCAAGCAGTAACAGCAGTGGTTAAATGGTTTTCTATTCTCTAGTTTCTCTTTTTGCACCATTTGGCCCTATTTTGCCCACTGCCTCCTCCTTACTTAAGTTATCGTTGCTGAAATGGCCAGCTACGCTGTTCCTTTCCACTCGCCTTCAATCTTTTCTCCTCTCACATCTTTATCTGCTCCAGTCATACAATCTGCTCTCCTCCTGATACAGCCATTCATCTCCGTCCTTATTCACCTGTAGTCTCTGTATCTTTTCCTGCAGGCTTTGCAGCCTCCTGCACACTTCGTCCATTCTCTCCTGGGACAAGACCAGCGGGGCGCTGATGCTCCCGTCTTCATCTTCTTTTTTTACTCCATCTTCCTTCCTAGAAGGACTGGCGTTCACCTGCATATATCCCCTGTCTGTCGACTCACTTTCCTCTGTTAACAAAGATAACTCAAGTTACAGACGTCAGCTGGCCTTAGATGAATTATTTTAGCAGTAGAAGGTGATCAAATCTTTAACCTGCTGGCTGGGAGCCATCTGTGTCCTGAGAAGGCTTCTCTGGTTGCTCCTCCTCATTTTCTTCATCAGGCAGCGAGTCCTCTGACAGACTGATGCTGCCGATCAGCAATCTTTTCAGTGACATGACTAACAGAGGAGAGGGATTCAGTGTTTTAAAGTCAATATGAGGCACGAAAAACCAAACACAAAAGAAAGACGAATGAGACGATGGATCACCTTCATCCAGAGCACTGCTGGCCACCTTCTCCTGACCGCCGCTGGACTGATCCAGCACATGAACCAGGCCTCTGTCGGTTAACAGTTCAATCAACTTATCCCTCGGATGTACAGCTTTGTCATCTGTCACACTGGCCTCTTCTTGATCTGGAGATGGAGAGAGGGGTTGGCATTAGTCTTTGGACAAATCTAATGACTGTGCATTTTTAAAAGTGCTATACATCCAATGAGGCCTTACCACTGCTGCCTCTTAAACCGCCATTCTCTGATGGACTCAACGGCGGATTCAACCTAATCAAAGATAAAGGGAGTCAATCATTGTTTTTAACCTTTTCATGTTCTATCTTAAATATAGCTTCATTTAATCATATTTTTTCATCCATAAATTGTACGCTAATCCAGACTAGGGTGATCAGATCTATAAAAAAAAAAAAACTAATTTAGGAGAATTAAGATGCTAATGAGGGCCAATGCTATACAGACACGGTGTGTTTCTTTTGCGACTCGCTTTGACAGTTATTTACATCGCGCTCCTATCACATCAAACTAAAACAATTATTTCAACAAACTTTACAAAAGCTTTTTGAGGATTGCCTCAGGCAGTTATAAACAGTTTCTTAGTCTTTAGCGTTTTCTTTACTTTGAATGTAGCTTCCATCATATAACTTATCTCTATTTTGTACAATCTTATGTCTATTGAAGCTGTTAAGTATAGCCTTTATGAGTCGGATTTATTATTTACATAAGTAAAGCTGCTCAGTAAAGACAGTAAAGACTTTGGCTTGTTTGCTAGTACGGTAAGTAGGAAATGTGGGAGTGCTGGTTAGAGATGACAGGATAATAAAGCAATATTTTGGTAAATAATGGAAAAAAACCTGCAAGCTGCTGACTAAACGCTACAGCAAGAGCCACAACAGAGCAGTTTAGATTAACATGTGGTTAAATATCAGAATGGTCCAAAGTGACAATCAGTAAAAATAGACGGTTACAGTAAAGACACTCTTCATCCAATCTAACAGAGGCAGATCTATTTCGTTAAGAAGAATCAGCCAAACCTGGGCTCTACATGTGTTAAGCTGACAGAGGCATGATCTAAAAGACCCAAAACCCTTTCAGGCAGAACTGCAGCAAAAAGTTGTTTTCCAGTGGTTTGACTAAAGACACACAGGAACACGTACATGGATGGGCTGAGAGGAGACATCCCAGCTCCAGGAGTAATAGGCAACTTCAGGGATGCTCCATTTCTCTTCAGATCGTCTACTGCTGACCTGATCATATCAGTCCAACTATAAAACACACAAATAAGAGAGGTTACAGTTTATCATTAGGTTTAAGAAACTTACAACGATGATTTGCTTTGACACTCACGTTTTCCTTTCTCCAACAGACTGAGCCACCAGCTCATAGATCTGAGCACCATTCTCCCACGTGAATATCACATATAAAGCCTTTCGATCTGATAGAACAGGAAAACAAAAAACAGAAATGAAGTACTTGAAAGTTTTCCTGCAAGTTTTGCAAAATATCTACAAGAACTAACCTGTTGCCACGTCACGGAGGAAAACCGAGTCCAACTTTATAATGGGGCTCAGACTCTGCTTGCCCTCCTGCCCCGCAATGTTACTCTTACTTTGGCATTTGAGCAACATCTTGTCTTCCTGCTTTTGTGCAAGGACTAGCAGATCTTCCAGCAGCAAGCAATGAACATCTAAGAGACAGAGAGATGTTCTTTAGCTTCACCAAATTTCTTTCCTTCCCTTTTCAGACAGCAGATCATTGTTCTGTTTATCGCTCACAGCAACATATTGTGTACTGAAATGATTTCAAAGCCACAAGAATTTATCGTTAAGTCTATCAACCTTTTAAGCCCTTATCAAATTAGGGTTAAAAGCACTTATTTCAATCAATACAAAAGGGGAACTCCACCAGGTGCAGTACAGCTGTGTTTCCATTTATTGTAATTTAAATGTGCACATATGAAAAGGGGAAATGAAAAAAGAATGCACCCAGCATTATCTTAAGATAGGCCTAAACTATAAATATTTATATGTGGAGGATACATTTAAAAAAGCAGGTTCTTATAATGCAGCACACTTGAAATATCCAAATGTTTGTTATAATACATGTTTTTCTTTTTAATAATGGTTCTGCTAAATGTTTTATTAATAATCCTGGTATATCTCTGTTCATAATATATGCATTTATTTACCAATAGCCTTTTCCTTGGTCACCCTCCAGATCAGCGGACCTTCGAAAAGCATCTTCCTCTGAGTCAGGTCAAGGTTCTTGAATATTGAGGGGGAAAAATAAGATGAGAAAAGCAACCAGAACAGAAGGATGAGCTGAAAACAAACTTTTCTTTTTAGAGAAAAGTACCTTATATTCTGTATAAAGGTCAACGCTGGCTTTCAGTCCTGATGTGTCCAGTTTTTTCTGGTATTCCTTCAGAGTCTGAGGGCAAAGACAGACATGGGGTAGTCAGACAGCTGTTTCAATGGTTAACACTGAAGCCTAAACAAGCAGAAACCCTCCAATGACCCCACAGACGCCTAGTATGGACATAACAGTCTGTTTGGTGCTGGTTTATGTGGTTCTTACCAACATGTTCCCCATGCTTTTGACCTCTTCGTTGACATGGTTGAGGATCTTTCTGCAGCATTCAGCACTGTCCTGGATAGCCGCCTTCTCATCTGGGTCCTCTGTTAAAACAGGCAGAAAACTCAGAGCTGAGTACAGATCGGCTTTTACAAAGAGGCCTGAAAAAAGCACCAAGTCACAATGATCTCTACAAAGACTAATCATCTGTGTCATTTAAGCATAAGTGTTTTTTAAAATAATTATGCTGCTCTTTAAGTTATTATCTGCTAAGTTGAATGAAATAAAACGCAGATGATAACATTAGCAGGAACACATGACAATAAGCCAGCTGTTATCTCCTCTCATTTAGTTATAAGGCTGTCATGCTAGAATTTAATTAGCAGTACACACCTAAAGAAATAAACATTTGCTCCATGTGAAAAATAATACTTAAACTAGGAAGAACAATATAGTTAGATTTATTTCTACAGAAATCAACAATGGCATTAGTTTTACAAAAAGATTAACAACAAAAAATAAATAAATGTTTATTTAGATAAATAACAAAAATTTTATAAAGGAAAATAAAATAAAACTGGGGCAGGCCTTTTGGTCTTTCATGATTATTTAAATAAAGAAATGTATAACCTCATTTATTACCTCATTGCTACGCTCTAATCAAATATTGCCTATTTTCTTTGTTCTATCTTACTCTTAAAAAGCATATGAACAACAAGCATGACAAATAACAAATAGTTAAAAAAAAAAAAATCCTCCTTTGTGTGCAACAGTGCTTTAAATGAATAAAGCAGATTGGCCATACAGAACTAGAAAGTGGCTTAGAATCCCTGATCTTTCAAAAATGTTGTTTCTGAATTCACCAATGTCAAGCAGCCAGTTCCAAATCCAGGCTGCTTCTGGAAAAACTTGAGGAAAATATGCTACACAGAACTTGGATTGAATACATGATGAGGGATTGGGATAAACAGAACAAATGCTAAGCGGTACTACGACATAAACACACAACGCACCTGTGTTCTTAGCAATGTTCTCCAGCAGCAGTGGATACTTCGTAAGCCTCTGCATCTCTGTAGGAATAATGTCCTTGAGCTGTAGCCTGCGGCACTGGGGCTTACTCTCTGCATCCTGAAGTTCAAACAAACAAAGAGTCAGAGTTTCACTTACAGATGAATCAAAATATTTACATGTGCTTTTCTCCCACTGAGTAAGATTAAATCAGACTAAACCTTTCCTATTTAAGCCAATTCTGTTCTGCAGAAAAACCAAAGAAATATTTTTGTTTATTATTTCCTATAAAACCCGAAACTAAAACTTTTAAAAGTGTTCAGCAATAATAAATATTGTTATATTGACAAGTAAAATGGAGAACAAAACAAATGGTTTTGTGGATGAAATGCAAAATGACTGATCTAAAGGATTTAGTTGAATTGACATTGATTTGATTAGAGGAATTTCCATAACTGCTCCACTATGACCTGTCCTATAATTTCATGGTTTTGCTGTTTTGACAGCATAGCTTATTAGCCTATAAAACAGCTGCATCACTTAGTGTTCAAAGCATGTGAAAAAAGTTGAGCCTTTTAGCCCAGAACTTAAGGTTTCCATTTAGAGCGGTCTTGTCCTATCTATCCCTGCAATGTACTTATGTTTTTTTTCATGTACAGCACTTTAAAGTTAACCTGGCAGTAGCCTCAGACTGAGTTCAGTTCTACAGGGATGGCTGCTATTCAGTCCGTTCGTCAAAAGGAGAGATGTTTAGTACAATACTTCGAGCTGATCGGCTGACGTGCCAGCTAGAACCCGCCTTTCATAACACCCTTTCATTCAATCACAGCTTCTTGAGTGTTTTCACACTAGCGGAGTACGCTGATAAATCAAACTTTATCCAAATTCTGTCAGAAGAAAAGCACAAACATCTTTCTGATCTGCAAATGCACAAAGTGCTTCTATTTGCTCCTTTTTTAAATGGGAAATTGTTGCTATTTTAGCTTAAACTGAATCAATTGCAGTATCGATAGGTGAGTTCTCCAGTGTAGCCATGTTTGTAATGCCCCAACAAGGACCTTCTGACTGTCGTGATTCCTACATGTCCCGCCCCAAAAATACTGCTGGCATGTCATTGGTCCAGGCAACTGGTTGTTATGAGACAGACGTATTAGCAGGAGTCTGCCAAGATGGATTTGTTGTGAGACTGGAAAATCAGATCTTGTGACAATCTAGCTTGCAGTGCAAGGTTACTTTAAAGTGCGTTGTTATTGAAATGTACGATATAAACAAACTTGCCTTCCCTTGGACATTACAGTTTGGACACAAATGGGGTTTTGCTTCATTTGGACTTCACCCTAACCGTAGAGCTACGTGACTTAAGATCAACAGAATCAAGATTTAGAGAAGTCGTCACAATTTCCTGATTTCCCATAAAAAACAAAAACAAAGTGGTGGCAGAGCTAAGAAAGCCTTTTTTATACAAAATGTGGAATGCATCTACGTTTATTCATCTATCAAACACTGAGGAATTTATTTTGGAGTCACTATAATACCTGTATAACAGCATTAAAGCGGGGCTCTTTCTTCTGTCTTTGCTTGATCTGGTCAAGGGCCCAAGTCTGGTGACTGCAGAACCTGGAAGTCAGTCTCTGAAACCATTCTCCCTCGTGGCCATCAAACTGAAACACACACGTTAACACGGTGAGATGCAGGGGGAAAACAGAAGATGACGAACATGCTGATGCTGTATGCATGACCAACAAAGAAAGAGAATGAACTTACTCTGTTGCGCAATGTCGTGCTGATTTTTTTAACTATATAGTTTTCATTGACACGCAGTTTCTTCAGGTTTTCATAGAAATTATCTAGAATTCAGAGGCAGACAAAAGACACCATTGATTCCCAGTCTAGAGAACAACTTCTCTTTTCTTCTATTCAGTCCTTTTGGCCGGAAAAATAAACCACGTAAACATCTTTTCTCTTCGTCTGATTAACTACTTTAACCTGATAGCAATGATTTATATTGAAATAAAAGCTCAATTTTACAAATAAAAACAACAACCAGATATATAAAGGTTTTGTTATTCTGTTGCTGTTTGAAAATGTTCTAGATGCAAAATATTTCAAAGCTGTGTGATAAGAGCAGCACTCACAATGCATTTCAATGATTTCCTCGAGGTTTGGGAAAATGGCTTCAATTTCTACAGAAGTCAGGAGTTGCTCCCTCTCCATCTGCTTGGCGAACACCCACTGAAGGACACTCAGCATTCTGACGTGTGCATGCTCTGTGGCAAACAACTCTGAGAGGGAAATCAGGACGTGCAGAATGAGTGACATAAAAAAAGGGGGGGGAAATGCACATTTTCCATTGCTTTCGTCACGTATAGCTAAATGTTACCATTTATGACTTCCTGCCTCTTGGTCTCCTTCTTGCTGAGGCTCTTCACAGCCTCAGGGGACGCCAGCTGCCTCCAGCTGGACGGGTCCTGCTCCAACTCCTGCAGACGGGGATCAATCTCCTCCAACTGCGGAGAGGGACTTGTTGGGGGCTGGCCAGGCACCTCAGAAGGGAAAGCGGGTCCTTCCAAACTAACACAGGTGAGAGACAAAGTAGTTTACAATCACTATAATCCAAGCATAATAATCCCAGCCTTTTACACTTTTGTAAAGTTTTAGGGAAAGGTGTTTTACTGCAAGTAAATAAGAAGCTTAACTAGTTATGTTGCTCTACAGCTTTAAAATGAAGCAAATTTCTTCATTTTTTAGAATAGGGTTTCTTACTCACATTATCACATGTACATTGCCCAGTAGACTCTTTCTGAACAATGACATTGTTACTCTGTCCTTAGCTACCTGACAATGCTAGGTCCAGTTTTTTCGAATCATTGTATCATGCAAGGAATTTTTAAGTCTAGCTTATTGTTTATGCCAAAAGGCCCTCTGAACTGTATTTTCAGCTGCTATCTCAAAGGCCTGGAAGTGTATAAAAAAAAAAAATATATAGCCTTTATTCAGGCACAAGACACCACTTGAACTCCTTAACAGGCCTACTTGCTTCTGCTTGTCACTGGCAGCTACAACACTCAGACTGAAGTTGGTCATACAACCAAGTATATGTTTTGAAACTTGTAGGAGGCAGAATTGAGGAGATCTGGGAGAAAGCAATACAAACAGATGCTTGTTGGGATGTGGAAGGAAATTGGGGTAAGCACTACTGCAAATCCATTGAGGTCGTCTCAAAGAGATTTCAAGGGCATCCTCTGTATCATGGCAACACATGGTGGCAGAATTAAAAAGTCACCAGCAACATTGGAAAACCAGCAAGATAGCCTCCAGGTGGCTGTGGATCAAGAGGGGGAATCTGTAGAGTAGCATGGCTGGATTGCCCAGGTGAGGGGGTCTGAAGATCAAGACCTCTAAAACACCAGATGATCCATGGTTCTAGAGATAACTCCAAACTGACCACACATCTGTTTGGTACTGGACTTCATTAGGTCAGAAGACCTCAAAGCGTTTTACACCACATTTAGTCATGCAACCATTCACACACACACATACAGGCTGATGGTGGCAAAATACTTAGTAGCTAGAATAGAAGTGAGGCGCCTGGTTGATCATAACAAGCAGGCAAGGTTGGTATAATATCTTCTTCAAGGATAAAACTGAGATTTAACATCCAGGGAAAAAAAACAGCAAACCCTAAATGACCAATTGTTAGTTCCAAGGCTAATTTTGTCCAATGGGATAATTGAGCTTAAAAAACGTTTTATTAAGCAAAAACATAAAGCTGTATTTACTTCTTTGCTGTTTTTTAAACTAATGCTTACCAGCACAGTAGTGCAAGAAAGGCACATTAACAAACTCCTAGTAACACACAGCTACTACACTCCAAGCTGCAGAAAAACCGCATCAAAGGTGAATAGATGTTTACAAAATAATAACAATTTGTTAAAATATGAAATAAATCAGATTATGGTGAAAATATTCCCATTATTTTTTAGTCAATGCAACTCTGGCTGCAATCACATCTCTCAGTTTGACTGAATAAGGTTTTAGTCAGGTCAGCACATCTGGACACTTTCACCCCCCATTCTTTCACTCAAAACAGCTCATCTCCCGCCATCTTGGACAGGGACTAAATATTCACATTCAACTAGATTAACAGTTACTGTATAGTCTTTACTGTATGCTTGTGGTTATCTTGCTGGAAACTAATTTCTGAAGTCACAGTTCTTTGACAAAATGAGTCTAGTTATCTTAATTTTTCCTACACTACTCTTCCTGTTTGCTCTTCCTTTACTAGCCTTCCACAGAATGCTACTAAGAAGCACACAGACCATGATGCCACCACTATCTTGTTAAGAATAAAATACAATATATTTGTGGGGAGGTGCAATGTCCAGTGGTTGCCTCACAAAACACCTGATATGTTGTATAAAAAGTTAAAGGGACAGTGTGTAAGATTTACCTCCATCTAGTGGTGCATTAAATGTAATACAAACGACCAACTGATGCCTCCCAGTCAAGTGTGAGAGACTTACTACGGAAGCCGCGGAGTGACATTCTACTCTTTCTGATTAGAGGGGAAACATCAACCTCAGTCATTGTTGTAAAACCAACTAAAATAAACCATGAAACAAAAAATTTCTTGGAGAACAGGGCTGAAAGAACCCTATGCTGATTAGCTGTTATGACTCCTGTGAAGAATAACAGCTGATAACAGCTGCATCGCAGAGCATCCAGTGTAGGCTAATAAACAAACTAGGCTTCTCTGTTGGTCAGACAGATAAAGTCCTGGACTACACTGCCCTGTTTCTAACACAACGCCAAAATAAACATATCTGCTGTAATAAATTACCTTTCCTGTCCAGCTGAAAACCTGAAACATTTGCCTCTGTATTCAAGCTCTGCTTCCTCATCAACTGGCTCTACCTTGTAAAAGCAACACTGATACAGACTCTTGCATCACACTTGACAAAGAGGATGAATGGTCCTCCATTTCAATAGACAGTGTAAGGTAGAATGATATATGGTTGTTTTTGCTTTTTTTAAAACTCCTCCACCACTAACAGCATCTTTTCAGATAAAATGCATAAGACTGACATGTTTGGCCCCTTCTGGCAACGTTGATCAAAAAATGGCGATAAACCCTTTTATAAACTACTAAATCTAAGCAATGAGAAGGCTTTAATTTCTGGTGTGATATCATCAGACTTTTGGAGTATATGTTATTAAAAAATACTTGATTGTTGATTATAAAAATCCACATTTGTTACACACTGTCCCTTTGATTTTTTTTTCTCACTAGTCCAAACTATTTTCCCCAGTCTGATGAGGATCCAATCATATGCAGTTGGACAACTTTTCCCCAAATGCATTTTAAACCATAGCATTTCCTAACTCTTTTTCACCAATCTTCTTTTTTCCTAGTAACTCGGTCATTTCTAAGAAAAAGGATGAAGGTTTCATTTGAGTTTCATTATGGTGGATTTCAATTAACTCCTTGGGATGTCAAGTGAGCTGGAAATCTTTTTGTACCCAAAGCCTAACTTACACAAGGCAGCCATCTTTTCTGTGACTAGCTTCATCGTAATTCTCTAATTTCTCACAATATCTATTTTCAATACGGATGAACCTAACAGGACCTCCCAAATACCCATATTTTTACACCACCATTAAATGTTCCAGCTGAACGAATACAAAGCCCAGTTTTCAATAACGTATTACTTAGGGTGGATCTCTATCAGTCTCTATAAAAATGGGTCAATTTCACACATATTTCACACAGCATATCTTAAACGCCTATTTTGTATAAATCTGTTTTCAGTCTGAAACTGTTTTGTTTTTGTTGCAATTCTTGTCAAAAAGGACAAATTATAGAGGATTCTGCTTCATTTACAAAGCAACATAAAAGTGAAACTTTAAACATTTGAATACTATATTTAGGCCTATAAACAGTGCAATAGTTCATTTTCGCAAATTCTATACAGATATATGAACCATAGGTAAATAGAAAAGCTTGCATGATAATAGGAAACTTTCATTCTTCTTTTAACATCTCTATTCCAAACAGGAGGCTCTTTCTCTATCTGACTGCGTTTCGTCTCAGAGTAGTGGACATCCTGTCTGTCCCTGCTGTGAGCCTCTCCAGCCATAGACGCTGCGATAAAAGAGTGGCTGTCCATCTTACGGATGGAGGTGCTGCGGGGAGAGCGGGGCAGGACTTGTCGCAGATGAAGGAGGCTGGAGGTCCACGTCACTACGGGAGCGTGACTGTTTACGAGAAGAGCCACGGCGCCGAGACGAGTGCCGGTCCACGCGTGCGCTCTCGCTGCGTCCCACTTTCCTGCTTTAGGGATGGAAGGTAAGGAGAGGACGAGGAGGAGCAGGATGGTGAAGGTGAAAGAAAACAGGGACAGGATGAAGATGTGGGGAAATAAAAGGTTCCAGCAGGAAGAAAAGAAAAGAGAAAAAGGAAGAAGACAGATACAGACCCAAAAGACAGTGGAAAAAAATGAAAACATTCAAATTACAGATAGATGTGAGGATGGGATTATAGTTAATTATCAGTACAGAAGATGATGGATGAATCAAATTAATTTAAGATTTACAGATAAAAAGGAAAAAAAAACTAACAAACAGATTCTGAATGAAAAGTTGATATGCATGAGATGACATGCATAGAAAAATAGAAAACTAGAAAAGGCAGCGTCTGGATGCTACTCAGAGGACGTATAGTTAGCCATGCACTGCCTCTACATTCATTTAGGCTTAACTCTCCATTTTCAAACAATGAAGATATCTATAATCCAGATGTTTTCTATAATCCAGCTAGTCCCTTCGCATCACTTTTAACATACTTAGCCAGCTTGTGTTGCATCATAACAGGAACACATAACTCAGAGTAAAGTGTGTTTGCTTATGAGCGTTGTGCTCTCTGTCTGCATCATATGTGAACAGAAATTGGTGCCTGAAGCTTGTCCGTGTCTCTGCTGACACCCACCTTGGCTTCCGTCTGCAAAAACACGGAACATCACACCGTTACACACTTCCCTTTGCCCTTCACACAGCTGAACGTACAAATGCACACCCCCCAACATGAGTGACACCCTGAACATGTTACTGAACCGCTGTCCAAGCTGCATGCCATGTAAGACGCCAGAGGCTCCTGGCAACAACATGTAATCGCACAAACTGACGCAGGCGAGGACGCAGGACGAGTCCTGATTTGACACAAAGGACACCTTAGAAAGCACATTGACTGAGCAGCTAAAGTACGGCAGGAAATATATAGCTCGCAAAAATGTCCGACTGAAGATCGAAACTTAACTTCTGGCAGGAAAGCTGCACCTTGGGAAGCAAATAATCGCTTTAATGCAAGTTTATTTATGCACTGTGAAAAAAACTGACATGGTGCTATTTTGTGCCTAATTATACTAAAATTTAAGCTGTGCAAACTCTGCAAACTGAGGCCAATAAAAACTGCGATGAAATTGTTAAAATGAGAAAAACCGAAACACACAAAGAGACAGCAAAGAAGGAGAAGGCATGCCAATGTGAGGAAGATGAAGGAGAGAGAGGATAAAAGGAGAGGGAAGGCAATGAGGGAGGGGGGCTGGGTCCACGTTCACCTCCGTGAGGGTCCTTCTCAAAACTGCAGGCTCTGTTAGCTAGCGAGCGACGGGCAGCATGACAAGAGCTAGCACACAGCAGGGACAGACCGCTGAGGGAGTTTTACCACACTCCCCCAGCCAGTGGACACAGTGGACTTTTTCTGCCCAATTTCCCGTTCTATTCAAATCTTCCCCCAGTGCCATCACTTCACATCGCTTCATGCTCACTAGCCGATTCTCATCCCCATCTTCATCCTCCTCACCTGTCCTTGTCCGACTCCTCTGGATGAACATCAAGGGGTGAACTATGCTCAACAACAGGAACCCCAGCTGCCATCTCTGGAAGCGGCCCGTCCGACTGAGTGGGAGGCTCTAAAAAGTTGCATGGCTGACCTGAGGGGGCAGAACATCAGGTTCATGTATTAATTAAGAATCAGTAGGCGAAAGGTAGTCAGTTCATTTTTATAAGTGCTCATACATATAAATGACCCCATTTCTAAGCTGGATGGGTTAAATCAGGCTAACCTGATATAAATCCTAGTAAAATAATCAGCGGATGGAGCCACATTAATGACGCATTAATTCTTATGATTTCATCAGGATTTATGATGCGTCACTTATTTTTGCACTATAACAAATATTCTAAGTTGAATTGAGGTCTGAATCCTGATGGAGTCATTCTAATGCTGCGTTCACAACAGGAGTGTTTTAGGCGTTAGATGATTGTGCATTTTTAGGGCAGACACTCTGGATGCTCGACGCCCTTGATATTGAGATGCTCTAGAAAGTAGCTTGGTTTTATTTTCAGTAAGTAAAAGTTTAAGTGGCAAGATAATGACATATTTTCTTTCTGTTATTCCTTCTTTTTAAAGTCAGTAGATTTTAAACCCTATATATAAATATATGTATATATATATTCATGTTTTATATTCTGATAGAAGCCATCAATTTTGCCTTTAGGACCTTTTAACGCTGCTTGATGGTGTTCACCATAGAGTTTGATGTAAATCAGACACCCAGAATGCTTTTGGTGTGAATGCACCATAACAGAATATACTTTAACATAAAGAACTGCATTGTTGCTGTAAGTTCAGAGTGTTTGTCCTGCTGCATGGTGGATCTCTGCCACATCCCCATGTCTTAGTGTTTTTCTGCTTCCTCCTCCTAAAAAAAATAAACAAACTCCCTCTTTTTCTCTGAGTGAAATATTCCAAGCTTTTCTCATCTGTATGTTTTGATGATTATTGATTATGAGCAATGAAAACCCAAAGGTCATCATCTAAGAACATTTGAATAGATTAAAAAAGTTATTTGAGTTATTAAAATAAAATATATAATCCTAATTCACTGAATAATTGAAAGCACCTGCAAAGGTCTCCCAAGACTGTAAAATGTGTCCCAGTCTGGGATGGAAGGCTACATAAGCACGGGAAAAACTGCTGATTTCCAAACATTTTTGGCACAACTTCCCTGACTCCATAAGTGCACAGGAGAGGGAAACAGCTTTATTAACTTGTGGCCTTTATGTGGCCTGAACGACCCTGATGAAGCCAGTCAGCTATAAAAGTGTTTTCCTAGTAGATCAAGTGTTGCTATAGTCTTTACTTCACCAGAAGACTGCTGACCTGACAGAGGTCCAGAAGGAAATCTGCGACTCTAGAGGGGATTAGCATCAAAAGGTTATTGCTAAGCAAGCTTCTTGCTTACAGGGAGCTGAATTTAAGCATGTTCATCGAGAGCGGTAAGAAAAGTTTGGGTTTTCATTTTCCATAAGCTGGAATCATCTAAGCTTGACATTTTTTCACTCAATGAGTAAAGAATCTAAATAACTTTCTTTTTCTGATATGAAAGGCAAGACGTGATGAACTTTTTCAAGATATAATATTGTTTAAAATAAACCAAAATGTAACTGTTTGAAGTAAAAAGTTGAACTCAAGGCTTGAATCTGACCAGAGCATCCTCATCACATCTCCTGTGGAACCAACTACCAGTTTTAGTTTGTGTCTACTTTTAAGGGTAGGCTTAAATCTTTCCTTTTTGATGAAGTGTATAGTTAGAGTGGCTCAGGTTATCCTGAGGTATCTCTATAGTTATGCTGCTATAGACTAAGACTGCTAGAGGACATTGGGACCCCTTTTTAATCATTCTGCTTCATTCTATCTCTATTCTCCCACTGCAGAATTTGTTAGTTCAATTTCTAACGCTATGCTCTCTCTGCTTTTTCTCATAGTAGCTTCACCTCGTCTGTTCCTGTTTGGCTGTGTCTCCATCCTGGAGAGAAATATCAGCTGTGCTGCTGCCATCAACACCTTTGTTTATAGATATTCAAGAGTGGCCTGTTTTTGGTCTTGTTTCTCTGACTGTGACTGGCTAGATGTGCTCTCTTCATCCTCTGACACGGGAGCTGGCTTGGACCTCGTCTGGCTGGCTGTGTGTTTCCTGGACGAGGCCGCCTATGGAGCTGGTTTACAGTTGCCTTTTGTATTGCTGCTTCTAAATGTATGTCAGCTTCTGTCTTCTTGAACCCTAGTCGACCTCGGCAGATGGCCGCTTACACTGAGCCTGGTTCTGCTGGAGGTTTCTACCTGTTAAAACTGAGTTTTTCCTCTCCACTGTCGCTACAAGCATGCTTAGTGTGAAGGATTGCCATCGAGTCAATGAGTCAATCAACTGGTTTTCCTTAGATAGAAAACTTTGAATCAGATTGACTATATGTTCCTGTTGAATTGTAAAGTGTCTCGAGATAATATGTTGTGAATTGGCGCTATATAAATAATCTGAATTGAATTAAATCACGTGCTATCATCCCTTTGGGAAATGTGATGTTCTTTCTGCTATAACTAGCAGCTTTCCTCGAAACACATTATACATATACATACATATATACATATACACATACATATATACATATACACATACATACATATATATATACACATACATACATATATATATACACATACATACATATATATATANATATATATATATATATATATATATATATATATATATATATATATATATATATATATATATATATATATGTATATAGTGGTCAAATTTCCTGAGTTTTCAGTGTCTGTATAAATTTACAGCTTTACCATCAATCGGAGAAGACTCTGCATTGTTGTGGATGTTCAAGATGTTGCCTGGAGATCCAGGGGGCTCCACGTTAGGCACCGAAGGTGAGCCTTCAGGTTTTCTGATCGAAGGAGCTGGAGTTTCAGCTCGGACAGAACCTTTAGATTCCCTTCCTTTATTATCTTTTTCCCCTGTGGAAGAAGAAATAGGCTTCTTTTTGACAGTTGAACTAACAATCCAGCTTCAGAAAGCCATAACCCCAAAGCACCCAATTTTGAAAAAAAAAACAACAACAAATGAATCACAGACAAACAGAAAAGACTTTGAGACAAGCAAACAGTTAAAAGGGGTTTGGTGCAATCAGTGCTCCTGCTAAGGATGAGATGGTTAGTTTGACTCAAGTAAGCTGCTTAAACATTCCATGTGAGTTTCCAAAGGACACCACAAATACCACAAATGAATATCCACTCAAACAAAGTCAGGTGAAATACAATGCACCCACACCTTCTGGTCATTTGATTAAGAACATGCAGACATGCTGATACAGTGATTAGTAGGGTTGTAATAAATCTACAGATAAAAATGCAGGTGGACTCTGAACAAGAGTACCTTCAGACTCTTTTGGTTTGACTTCGACTGCAACAGGAAAAAAGGGGAAGGCAAGGTTCTTATATGCAGACAATACAAATCAAGAGATAAAAAATATTTCCTAATGTCTCTAATACAGCATAATTCAAGCATATGATATACTTATTTGCAAGCGTAGAGCTGACACATTATCTAAATGTATTATGGAGCTGTATCACGTTAAAACAACAAGATAATTGTTTCAAAAGAACGAGACGGTTTCTCGTTTAAAGAGAAACTTTATTGCATGAAATCACAGACATTTGACTGCCTTGGTGGAATGAAGTGTGATGACAAACGGAAAAATCTGCAAGAAGATCGTTATTTCAAGACAGAGATGACAAACTCAGTCACTGAATAATGGATGTTATCACCTCATGTGAGCTTTTTGCTGGATAAATTTGTTAGGTATATTGCTAAATAGTACAGCTAGTAAAGCCACAATTATCATGACTATATATATATATATATATATATATATTTATTTATTTATTTTCTTTATTTTTATTTTATCATATAGTAAATAGTGAACAAAGTCCTGCACACCCTGGCTTCCTGCTCAGAGGTGCTGGAAATGTGAGAAAATGGGACTGATAAAAGTCCATGGAAAATTAAAAATTATTGATTGATCAAAAGTAAGTCTGTGCAGTAGACAGTAGACAACACAAAATACACCAGGTTAGACAAGGTAGTCATTAAAACCTTCAGGACTTGAGTGTTCTCAAAAGTTTTCTTTTTGTTTGTTGGTTTAATGGTGACAACCAATATAAGTAAATAACGATGAATAAACTTTGGCAAATGAAAAATAGTCCCCATTAGTGTTTTGTATTTAATAAAACACTGTTTAGCTTAATAAATTCAGTAGGTTATAAATCTACAAGGTGAATTATTTGAGGTCTTGGATTGTGGCGGTTACCGTAGGTGTTAAATGGATAAAAACCAGGAAAAGACAATCTCCCTAAAACAAGAAAACAATCTTTTTTATAAGCTACTTATACCGTGTTTATGAGAAAGTTATCTCATTTTTAGAACATAACTACCAGTATCTCGCAAGAATGAGAAACTTTCTCGTAACAACACACAGCTCCATAATAATTCTAAATCATGTGTTAGTTTTACACTTTTGTAGATGGCATATATTCATTTCATACATTTTCATACAATCTCAAAAGTTCCAAAATAATATTCAATGGACTTTAAAAGAATGTGCCAAAGGGAAAAGAATATGTTTTACCACCGCCTGCTATCCAGTTAGGAACATGGAAGCCCCGAGTCCGTTGCTTTGGAGGATCATGATTCTTCTGCTGAGATTAAACAGGAGTGAAAACACAAATCTGAGGTGAAAAAATAAAAAGGCCTGCAAAATATAGTGTCACTAGGCCAGTATTGGTTCATTTAATATTATCATACTGGGAAAGAATGTTTTCTTTCTGCATTGATAAGGATATCTTACCTTAATCCATGGAAAGCCTCGTTTGGACTTCTTACTATCACCTGCCCTGTTTTTCACTTCAAGGTGCTTCATGTAAGACGCCACTGCAGAGAAGATGGCTTGGCTAGAAGGAATATTAAAGGCAGTTGTCATTTAAAAAGAAGTTACAGCACATTTTCTACAGGGCTTCTCTTCCTGGCCATTCCTACATGATGCTCCTTAAAGAAATCAGGAGATCAGAAGACCAGGCGAAACCCTTTAAAAATGATTTCACAGTATATTTATCAAATACATCAACTCATATCAAATAAAATAATTAGGTGCAATAAAAAAAAGATTAATAAAATTATATTCTGTTATCATTTAATGGCAACATGTCATAACATAGTAAATAAATAAGTGGTATATTTAACTATTTAACAGGAATTTTATTAATGGTTTATATGGTTCATTCATGGAATATATCATTTTGTGGCTCTCCATACATCTCAGGGTCACATCATATTTAAGTGTTTTGTTTCATCCTCTTGGGGTCCGGATCTCCACTACATGCACATACAGGGAGCAATGTTTACAGTTTATAGGGCTAACTATGCTAATCGGCTAAAAAAAGTTATCAACTGTGTTTTAAAATGTTGACTGTAACTCTCTTTCAATGGAAAGCTGCATTTTCAACTAAACTAATTAAGGGCCTCATTTCTTATATTTTCTACCTTCAATGAGCCAGGACTTTTTGTACTACTTCAATCTATCTTCAGCATTACTGATAAAGGCTTTTTAAAACCATTTCAAAGTTGGTTCACACAGATCTAAAAAAAAAAAACATTTAAGTTGGATTAAACCTTCTGCATAATACTGTTAAGTTAGTAATATCTAGTTAATTTTAATGTGTATATGCTAAATAATGAAAATCATTATTTACATTTTTAGTTGCATTCATTAGAATCATGTTTGGAGATTAAATTGTGGTTTAGGAAAGCCTGAATTTGCTTCTCGTTGGATGAGAGTTCTTTTAAAACCATTGAGGGAGTGGAGTCTCTAAGACAGCCGGTGTTTGACAGCTGCCACCATATGGTAAATAGACACATGCTACAAGTAAAGCTTTTGAATGGCAGGTGGCAGTTTCTTAAACATCAGCTACTGCTGATCAAGCATAAATTCCTATCATAAAAAGAAGGAGCTGTTTGTTATTGATGCTGTTTTTCTGGATGTCAAATGGAAAGCAGGATTATTGAGCACAATTAAGGAGGTTTGCCTTTGCAACCCAACATTATTAGTTATTTTAATAAAACTTATTCTTGGGAGAAAACTCTAGAATAAAGTTTAATAAAAAGCAGAGACTGGCTCAAAACCGAGCAACGTCTCTTGTTGAAAGTCATTCAATAAACAAAACAACAAATCTAGACTAAATTGCAAAAAAATTAAAAATGTAAATTGATAAAGGAATGGGAAAGAAAAAACATATAGAGGAGGGGCTTAGAAAAGTGGGAAGAGGAGAAAAAGCTCATGCAAAAAAACAGGGAGGAGATATTTGAATGAAGGAGGAGGGTCGGGGGAGGAAAACACAACAGAGCAGCCTCATGTTAGAAACCAACATACAGTTCAAGGAATTCAATAACAGTCGCATCAACAGAAGCATTTCGAAATAAAGGAGAAAAACTCTCATGGTTAAAGTAAAGATGCGAAAGCATGCAGGGATTTTTAAAATAATCAGTTTTTGTCCAACCCATATTTAAAGTTAAACAAAACTCAGAAGATAAAGGTTTGTTGTCCATTATCTAGTTAATAACTCTCCTGCAAGAATAACTTTATTATTAGAGATTTGGTTGGTTGAAAGCATCTGCAACAAACTTGTGGATAGGCCACAATCAAACTAAGCATGCAGGGATGACATGCAAAGACAAAAAATACAAGGAAAACTTTTCAGACTGAAGTGATGCTGAGTAACTCACCATTTTTCCTCATCCGGGACAAAGGTAAGTCTAAAACAGAAGAAATAAATATCAATGAATTATCAACTAAGGTGGGAAAACAGAAACTGCATTCAATCACAGTGCATCGAGCTTACCTCTTCTTTTTAAGTAGCATTTTTCCGTTCGCTCGCTCGACTGTTTATCAGTTCTGTTTTGGGCCGGTGGAATTTAAAGTGACTAAGCTTTTCTTGCTGCAACTCAAAGTTAACTATCTGCTCGTTCTGTTTAGAGTTTAAGCTTTTGATCATATTCTAAAGTTTGCGCAAATAAATGAACCAAAAAGACAAAAACAAAAAAAAAAAGATCCAAAATGCAAAATGAAAAGCATCCAACAGTTCAACTGCGTCTGTTCTTATACCTAAAACGTGCAAAACGAATGCAAACTAGATCTATTGTCTCTTAATAGATGATGCCGTTTCTTCTCCTATAAAGAGTCTGCAATAAGGAAATCTCAAATCTGGAATGCTCCAACGCAGCAGAAAGGGTCTATTTAACTATGTTTTGTCTGATGCAACAAGCAGGCAAGACTGTAGACATTTGATACTCATGTTGTGAGATGAACATAAAGACTGGGAGGGGTTTCACCGGGATTTCCCTGCATTATCCAATCAAATATCTGGCTTACCCACTTTCTATTCCCACAGAGACCAATGAGCTACAAATGGGCACTATGAAAGAGGGAGGTTTGTGTGTGTGTGTGTGTGTGTGTGTGTGAAGGGTGATCAAGATGGTTGTAGGGAGATGGATGAACAGAGTGAGGCTGACCGGATCCGTTGGCAGCCAACAGTGATGAGAGTCTGAAGCTGAATTCTAATGTCTATGAAGTCCATTATCACTGTGTCTGTTTTCCCAGGGTGGCAGTGGAGTGTGAACACTGGATTTCCTTTCATTTCTACTTCCTTCTCCTTTCTCCAGAAAGGAGTAACAACATCCTCTAGACTTTCCATGGCCTCTTCTTTCCCTCTCTGAGCTGCTTATTGAACAGAAGGAAAAACGGTTGATGGGCGTGAGCCCCGAGGACAACTTTCTTCTTCCTTTCTTTAAATACGCTCGTTGCACAGAAGTTATGCTGCACTAATCTTCCCGATCTGTTGCTCTCCCCCTCTCTGTCTCCCTTGCTGTGCATACAGCCCAACACACAGAGAGTTGGCAGAACTCCAGGGAAAGCCATCCTGCCAACGTGGCACTGCTGCCTCCATCTTTTCCCCTCTGCCTTCTCATTTCCTTTTCACGCTATTTTGCTGTGCTTCCGTTGCAGATCTCCTGCCAACTCTCTCACCCCAAGACCTTCTTTTTCCTTCAGTTTGCTGCTGGATTCCCCACTGTGCTTGATGTTTCATTCTTTACATGCATTTAACGTAGACACAGTTGGAGTAACTACGGGGTTTCTCAGCAGAAGAAAAGATAATCCAAAAGTTAACTCAGTTTTTACTATTAGAAAATTAGCTTTTAAAAAATATTGTCATTAGGCAATACTGAATATAAATATATATATAACATTTTCTTACTCCTTATTGCTCCTTCTCTTCCCCACCTCATCATTCCTTCCTTTTTTTCTTCTATCCTTGCATCTCTCTTCTCCTCTTTCTGTTCTTCCACCCTTTTGTTTCTCCTTCCTATTTTAGTAATTTTTAATGCATATAGTCTAGTATTTTTTAAACACTTAAGAGAAAGCAGGGTTGGTTGTCAGCAATACCATTTCATCCAGCAAAGAGTGCAAAAAAAAAAAAAGGGGGTAAGTGGTTTCGGGGTTAGAAGATCTGATATTGTTTGCCATAAAAAATGTGTTCACATTTTTAAATAAAAGCCCTGTAATATTTTAAACATTATTTGTATTAGCTTATATTCAATGTCTTCAAAACCTTTGAAGTCAAAGATACATTTGAAACGGATTTTGTCTTAGCCACACTACAAAATGTAGCCGTTAGCTGAGCTTTTAGGAGAAAAAAAATCCGTTGTGGTCGGTTGTCCCAGAATGTCTGGGTTTGGTTGCCGCGTGTGACAGCCAGCTTTTCCATTGTGTTAGATTTATAATTTTCCCTGTTTCTTTTAGATCATAAAGGGCAGGAATTCTGTAAGGACAAGAGAAAAGGGGGAGACTTCACCAGAAGTAACGTTGCCGCTGTCAGTAAAAAAAAAAAAAAAAAAGTTTTGATCTTGCGACAACCATCTACCCTACTTTAATTGCCCATTATGTTACTTTAGTAATCTAAAGCTTCCATGTAACTTTCCTAAAATAAAAACAAAATGTTAAAGACAAACCCCTAAATGTATTCCTAGTGCTCAAAGTGCTTTTGGTCAAGTTCAAAATACGTGTTTGTTAAGTTCTTTGCAGCGAAACACTGGGATGATAATGAGTGATTAAAAGGTCAGACAACAGGCAGACCTATTAGGTTCTGAACTTGGCTGCTGATCAGAAATGCTGCTGGTTTGTTGGCAACCATAAACAGCCAAGATGGGAAACCTATAAAAGTGTAATGTTTTTCCTGTTGGGAAATAGCAAAGGTTGACCAAAAGTGCAAAGTAACATGTAGGGGAGGGGCAGCAGTAAGGTACTCTATACTCCACACAGGTGGAGAAAATTGACAACATGACACGCTATTAAAAGAGCATTAACTCTAAGAAGACAGACACGTTTGGCAGCTTTGACATTCTGATAGGATTCATGTAATAAAAACTAGGTCCTAATAAAACTAAACATACGAAAATTCTACAGAAGGATGCAGTAGTGATTAAAATAGTTATCACACTGAGAGCCACTGAGAGCGTCTTTAAATATGAGTTAGGAAACGTCTTGTTTAGATGGAGCCTAATGAGCAACCATCACTCCCACTACTCTGTATGCCATTAAGTAAATGTGACATGTTAAAAAATCAGCTGCAATTAAATAGTAGTTTTTTAAGATGTTTCAAGAGCAACATTTCAAGCAGAACTGCTAAAGATTTGGGACATTAGAAGACCAGCAGGTGTTTTGAGAGATTTTAGCTCCTTTATAAACAATAAAGAACCATTTGGTAGAAGTTTCCTGAGCTCTCATCAGGTTTAAAAATAACTGTTGTGATTTTTTTAACAAGTTAAATCACTGTTAAAGAAATGATCCGTGGATATCTTCATGCATATTTTAAAATGCTTGTCTGTGCAGCTTTGGGTCAGTAACTGCAACAGAAAACTTCTTTTCTGTCCAGAAACCGCTTTATAAGAATCCCCACAACAATTAAGGCATTGATTCACACTCATAGATTAGAGACTTTGTTTGTTCACATCTACTGGAATATGTGCCTTAACTGTTTGTCTTGGCAGGACATGAATACGACTTCAGCCTGTGAAGTTGCTTCTGATAAAGAACAGGAAATACCACTTACTGTGAATCATACATCTTCTCCAGCAGATTCTCAGCCACAGATTTCTCCTTCATGTCCATCGGGACGCGGTCAGTGGGATAGTGACTTTCAACATCCATCACCTGCTCCTCACACTGGGTCATACCCATCATCCTTTTCTGCCTGTGTAGGACACAGTAAGAGGAGATGGTAAAGGGAAATTGCTGCCAAAAACTATACAGAAAGCTTAAGTACTGAGCACAGCTGAGATATGGAAAAGACAAACTATTAGGTTTTGACTCAAAGACCCCTATTTAGTTATTGTTAAATATTTGTTGTAAATTATAAGGTACATCATAAGGTCTTTGTCTGGTACTAGTTTGTTTTTTCCCCCATAGAAACAAAGAAAACCTTTTCTAAGTTTAGGATCAACAATGACTTTTTACATACATTTGCTAAAAAAAATCTTAAAATTTTGTTGAAATATATTACAATTTTCAGTTTATTCTTAAAGTCGCAAAAAAATACATATTTATTTTGATATTATAGTTAATAAAAAACAAGATATTTGGCCTGCAAGTACTGCAGATTTGACCATTTTGGATTTTGTGAGCTAAAAGTTTGGACACTTCTGGCTTATGTAGTATAAATGTTGATGTTTTTCACACCAAGAAGAATAAATATTAACATAAAATGGCTGAACTGACCAACAGAAAATAGTATTCAGTCATTTAGTTTTGATTGAAATAAAAAAAAACTGTCATGTTGTGCAAAAATGCATGTTTGTTCTGAAAATTCAATGAAATAACTAAATATTTGTTCATGCATATCATAAGTGAGTTTAACTGTCATAAAAGTACACAACTCAAAAACAGATTTAAATGATTACTGTTCACATGGGATACAGTGCTGCTGCAAAGGGCATTTTCCTTCTATGTCGGAAGAAAATGTTTGGAGAAAAGAAAACATGAAATGCAGGACAAAGAGCTTTAAAATCCCTAGATGCTGATGAAAAGGCTACTAATGGCTGAAACTGGATGCAACAAATGAGTTTCATCACTTTGTGCTACAGCCACGAAAAAAAAAAAAGAAAAACATACATTAGCAGGGCGATGAGGAAAATAATAACTGCTGACCAACAGATCCTTATACAGTACAGCAAGAAATATTAGATCCTCTACACATTTCTTCTGTCCTGGTTTCTTTTCATTTAAACTGTTCATCTTTAAGTTTCAGACAAAGAAAAGCTTTGTAAAAACAACAACAACTGTTACACTTTTTATTTACTAAGAGAAAAAAAATCTGTATGAAATGAGCCACATGTGTAAAAGATGATTTTGAAGGAAACAATGTCACTAATTGATTTTCATTGCACTTCAGATCCTACAGTAAAAAGATACAACACTGTCAGGTAATGTTGCTGCTTCTGAATTGTGTTTTTTTAAGTGTGAAATTTCCCACTAGGAGTCGATAACCTGAAAACTCTCAAACTGTTAAAGCTGAGCATCCTTTGGGATGGAGGGTAAAATCTGTCTGTCTTCAGTGTTTAAAGTGTGAGAACTGCACCTGAAATCCTCCAGCTGTTTGGCCACCTCCGCCGCTTGACATTTCTGCACATCTAAAGCGTAACGTCTTTGGGTGTCATCTGACAGCAATTCTGGACGAGTCCGATCTTGGAAAGGGAAAATTACAAATTCTTAGAATTGGCACGTCCACAATGGAAAAAACCAAAGATAAAACAAACAAACCATTTGTACAATCAATAAAATATATATATATTTTTTTCCAAAATATGACCTACCCAGTTCAAAGGATAAACTGGTTGGCATTGAAACTCTGAGAATCTGAAATGCAAAAAAGCAAAAAAGAAAATGTTACTGAGAAGATCTTGAAGATCATCAGCTATAAGATGGCTTTATTACATATTAATGGAGATTCATAGCAATTATAAGGTTAACCCTCTTTAATTCAAAAGATTTGTATTTTTCTCATGTTTACGACCTTATAAAGGCTCTTTAAATACCACTTGCATAATCACCCAACAAGGTTTTTAGGACAGAAGCAGTTTTAACATAATTCTCCTTGTCTCAGTCCTTCTCACACTAGTCAGTAGAGTAAACTGCCAGGTCCAGCTTATCTTAGTATACAGTAAATAAAGACACTATGCAGGTCATCGGCTGCGGAAACGTACCGACTGGTTTTGACATTCTAACACTAGATTTCTATAAAAAGGTTGAGCAGTGAAAACCCACTTTTCACTAACCAACTGTACTGCCTACAATTTCTACAAAGTTTTGAGAATTTTGCTTTATTTTAGACTAATAATGACTCGGTTGAACATATTCTGTGTGTCTGTCTGTGCGTATTTTTAGTTTTTTTTTTCACATTGGAGTTTAAACTATGTAGATTTTGATCAAATGACATTAAAAAAAAGAAACCATATACCCAGCATTGATTCAAAGGCATTATGTATCTCGACATATAAACTAATTGGTTTTTAGACAGTAAAATAAAAAGCAATCTAACCTACAGTAGCAAAATATTACAAAGTCTTACAAAACCTTTTTCCTTTATTTGGAGGAGGTCCCCACTTTGATATGTAAGCAATGGTCAGAGATCCAGGTCCCCTTTTGGCAATTTGTTTTGAATTTATATAAATGAGAATTTTCAGTGATACTATGGTAACACAGCCTAAAGGTAAAGGTTAAATTGGGCTTTTGGAATTTTTCAAATTAGCAGAAATAGAAGTCCCCTCTTTCCCAGTAAACAAAATAGTCCCCTGTCCTGGACTGAAGGTCTTTTCAACCCTCAGATTGGATTTAATAATTTGCAACCTGGAAAGATTTAGTTTTGTACACATTAAAGCCCTAGAACTAAGATTTTATTAACGTGAGCTGTATCTGAGTAAAACAGTATGACGCAGTTGCTGTCTTTCTCCACCAGGGGTCATTTCAACACCAGCAATAAAAAAGAAACTACATTTTGAAGAAAACAATAATATCCCAGATAGGAGTCACAAAACTCCTTCATTGATGTAGAAATAACTACCTAGTCTAACTTTAAATGCTTTGGACCACAGCATAGCTGCTTTTATTTATTTACTCTTCTTCTTAAGTAAATCTATGACTAAAAATTCCTCCTGTGGGACTTTTCCCACGATCCTGACAGGAAGTTGAGGCATTGACGAAAGCCTTAAAGAGAGCGAGAGCAGAGCACTGTTGACTGACATGCACAGTGACAGAGACATCTGAGGAGGCAGTGAGACACGCCAGGTGTGCAGAGGAAACCACGGAGATACTGAGGAGAGCTGCTTTGATTGAGACCAGGTAGAGCAAACACAGATGACACACGGCCAAGCTGCAAACAAACTCATGGTCACACTGTGTTCTCGTCTCTTATCAGCTCAGGATATTGCAGGTGCATCTAAACACCTACATGGTTGTAAAGTGAAACTCACTGATTGATTACACAGGAATGGAGAGATTTCAAAAATGGACTCATGATTGCTTGGATTGATTATAATTCTTAATCAATGAAAATCAGAGATTTTATTTTACAAAAGGGGATCATATTAAATGAGAGAACAAAATAACAGAGCGAGAAAGTGCTAAGAACTCCTGGGAAATAAAATCTACATTAGGTTTATGAGCCGAAGGAAGCAGGAAGAGCTCTAAAATGTCCTGGTAGACAGCTGTGCTGACTTTGGACTGAAAAAACCACAGAGGACTGAAACCAGCAGCACCCTGAATGACCACTGACTGGGAAAACTGCTCACTGGATCTCTTAGTTCCTTTGCTCCACTTGTCTGGAAAAAAAAAAACTAGAAATTTGTAAAAAGTCAAATTAAAAACTAATTTGTATAGAGCTGCCTTTGCCAGTTGAAGTTGAACCGTTAACTGGGGCATTATTAATTTAAGGTTGTGGTCCAGTTCTTTTAATTGTTTTACACATTATTTTTATCTTTATTTGCTTTTATTTTTCTTCTATTTTATTTTCTAATTCATTTAAAGCACTTTGAATTGTCCATGTACTGAATTGTGCATGCCTAACAACGTAGATTCTATGCGTTTTTACTATTCCATTCAAATCTTGGGACCTTGATTTCCAAATGTAGCACAGAATGATCTTTTTCTCCAAGATCCAGGCTAAGTGCTTTAGACATTGTCTCTGGTTCAGGAGTAGCTTCATAAAACTTTACATTTTCCCCCACTTCCAACTTTTCAATTAAACCTTAACTTCCTTAGAGCTGTAAGCTGTAATAATGACTGCAAAGTGAATCTATATAATATGTAAAGTTGAGGTTAAGCTCTAAATGACTTCAAAAGAAAAATGACTGAGTGAATTCCTTTAATTCAGCAATGCTTCCGCAGCAGAACAATCTAATGCAGACAGCTGAATGAGGAACAAACCTGTGCTTTACTTCTTAACCATCAGATTGACTGATAATACTATGCTTTGTTAACAAATAGGGGGACACATATTTCTAGGAAAAATCAACAATTCACACACATACCGGCTCCTAAGGATCCGTCTAGAGAGACCAAGTAACCTGACCTGCAGATTGCTGGAAACTAGGAGGTATTGGAGGAACAGGAGGAGACCCACCAAGCAGAAAGACCTCAGGCTGGGAGTCAACTTCTTGGTAAAATTCTCAGAATATATTTTTGTTTTCAAAAATACTCAGATATGTGACCATTCTCCCCACTGGTATTCTTAAACAGCCAGTATTTTTGGTATGAATTATAAGCAGCATTCATAAACAAGAAAAAGCAAAGTCCACTAGAGATCGTCAAAGAAAATACCAAAAAAATATGCATCGGAAAAAACTATGATTAGAAACAAACGTAGACCTCAGTAGTTCAGCCCATTTTACACCACTAACACTTGTTTGAATGAAACAAATCAATGTCCCATTAAACCAAAAATAGATGCTGTAATTTCATGGAAAATATTAATGATTTTTCCCATAATCCTGTTTTGGATCACTGCTGATCCAACTGTTAGCCAACATCCTACATTTGGAGCGCTAGCCTCGTATTAAAGAGCCAATTAAACATCCTTAATAAACCAAATAAAGCAGCTCTGATGCTCACAGGCCATGTTCACCCAGATCTACTTTAATAATTAGTGAGGTTTCAACTTCTGCGTTTTCTTTAACTTGATTTTTTTTCTTTTGAGTTATTCTTACAGTTCCTTAATAAACGGTCATTACCAAATAATGAGACAAATGAAACGCTTGTCCGCCACTGCGTTTAAAATGAAAAACTGCAGTAATACACCTTACAAAGTGAAGCTACAATAAGCGCTGACAATTAAAGTATCTCATTTAATTTTGATCAAAAATCACTTCATTTTTGATTAGTTCTGGTAGTGTTCAGTTATTCTATAGTTTTTCTTTTAAATCTAATTTCATCCTGCTTAATATTTTTTTTTCTTTTTTAAGAAAGAGTGTAACCTTCTACTTACTGCACCCTTCTCCAAGAAGTTATTGTAGAAGTCCGGAAACTGTTTCTTGGTGTCTCTAGCATTGAGGTTCTTTATGATGTCGGCATGGAGATAACACAGCTGTGGATGAAAAAAAAGTTGAATATTATGAAAAAAAGGAAGTATGGACGAATTCAAACAAATGAATGGTGGAGGTAAAGATGAAATAGAGTGACAGCTGGCTGGGTGGCTGCTGTTTAATGGATATCATGGTTAATCATGGTTATGGGAAGTGAAATCTGTGGTCATTTGCAACAGAAACCTTCTTGAAAACTTGATTCACTTTCTTTTCATGCAGAATAGTTCAAAAGAACCTCTGCTGTCAATCTGGGAGGACAAGTTTTCCTAACACTGAAAAGAACATTTCATCAGTCTGCTGAAAACTCAGTAAAGGTTAGTCCTCTTCTTCAGAATCGAATCCTCAAATGTAGGATTGAATTATTGAACTGAACCTGCCTCCTGGCAATAGATTTTCACCAAATATTAAAGAGTCAAAGGTGAGCAAACGCTGCCTTTATTCTTTGCAGGTCATGAGGAAAAATCATGGGCCAAAATGAATAAGTTAAACCAGGGCACATTTTGGGCATGACTGGATTCATTTGAAGGGAGAAGATTTAAAGAGGAAGACTTAAAAAAAAGAACAAACATGATTCGATTTCAGTTCATTAAAAAGCCCCTGAGGAAGAAAAAGCCACTTATATCCAAAGACAGAGGATCTTTACTGGAGAGTCCAGCTTTTTCCCCACAGTAACTCAGAATAAAAAAGAAAAGGCTGCACTAAAGCAGGTATTTGTGTGTTTAGCCTGCAGTGTAAATTCCTCTACATTCTTGGTAGAGAGAAGGTGAGGCAGATGGGATTTCTGAGAACGGCGTGTTACAAATTTGGGGTTGGATATTCCTGAGAGCATTAGACGACTGTCAGAAAATGAAATAAGTGATAAATACAGAATGAACGATAAGACAAAGGATGGACAACAATAAAATGTATTTTGTACTAAAGCATAATTAAATGAAGAATGCCAATAACTATGTGTTTCCTGATAGAAGGTTTTCATTTCTGATAAGATGATGACATTGACCCAATAGGTCTTTAAAACAGGAAACAAAAGTAAACAACAAAAGCTATAAAAACAACTAACCCATGTAAAATTATCCAATGAGTTACAGAAACTTTTAACAGAAGCACAGTTTTTCTTTCAGCATGAAAATATCAGAGATTTTAGATGCCGGCACATAAAATCCAATGTAGTTGTATGTTGTTATCAAATTTAGTTTTTTGGTTAATATCGGACGAATATTCAATATTAATACCGGATTGTGAAATCCCTACCAATAACTGGAAGGAAAAAATGTTAAACCTTATCAGGTAATCTGAATTAAAACCATTTTAAATGGCCAGGTTTATTACAGAAAAACATAAACTGTTCTTCAGTTTCCATCACACAGTTTCAGATGGGTTTAATATTAAACTTTAAATTATTATATCAGAATAAAGGTGTCCTATATCATGTCACTTAGGGGTATCAAGCCAATTAGGAAATCATAATATCAGCAGCATTTTATCAGTGTTGAGTATTGGATATTGGATATTCCACCAATATAATTCACAAATATTAAAGCCACTGTTTATGTGGATAATTAATAATAATTTTGCCTACATCTCCAGTGGGTAAAGTGGAACCAGTTGATACTGTGACTCTGACACAGAGGAGATGCTGATGTAAAATGTTAGATGTTTTTTTTAGACAAGTTTTTTTTTGGCCAATTAAAGGTATTTTGGAGGATTTTTGTGATTTTTTTAGAAGACCCGCCCTCTCCACTTAAAAGAAAGAAAAAAGGTGCACATGCACAACCCTGTAACTGCTCCTGAGAGGGAAAGCCTATTAAACACGAGTCAGAGCATCATGCATGAGCCCATTTTTCCTCCTGCACGCTCTCCTCGTCCTCGTGATGCAAGAGCATCACTCTTACAAGCTTACTTTCCAAAAAAAGAGCAGTAATTTTTCCACCATGTCAAACTCACCATTGGTAAGTGAAAATGGGGACGAGCATGTAAACATCTCACCAGAATGATTGACAATTAGGAGGACCACTTATTTTAATGATCCACCCGGAAAAAGAACATCTTCCACTATACCTTTAAGTTTAAAGTATCAGTTTATAGGATATCAGTCAAAATTCTAATACTGTGATTCCCTAAGATTAATTAGTTTTTACCTGTTTAAATTACATATTTTAAAAACATTAAAATCCTCTTGATCAATTAAAATAATTAAACATTTAACAAATGTATATTTTAAAAATAATAGGTATTATAATAATAGAATACTGATAAAAAGAAGAATATGAACTTGTGATTATTAGGTTATGGATTATATATTTAGTGACCCTTAATGTATTTTTTTAATACAACTTCCTTTTACTACATAAAGATTTTTACTGAAATATTTCTTTAACAAAAAAAAAAGGCATGGACATTTTAGGCCTTTTTCAATTGGACTACTTTTAACAGTTATCTGGAACGACATTTTGGAGTCAATATTTTTTTATCAAATTACCCACAGCCAGGCAGCAAATGTAAGGAGGATTTAGCACAAGTGACTGACTGACTGACTGACTGACTGACTGACTGACTGACTGACTGACTGACTTTCTATCATTTCCTGTCTGTATTGTTGCAAACCTAACACTACTAAACACACACAAACATTTTTAAAACAAAACAAATCATAAAAAAAAAAAATGGGGATGGAAATTCTTAAACTGTAAAAATCACTGTGTGATAGTCAGACCTCATAGTGAGAAGTCTTTCAGATTTCAAAAAGAATGAAACATATGAAGTCCTCACCAAGGGTGCGGGATCGAACTGCAGAATGACATGCTGCATGAAGACCAGCAGGTGAGTCGGCCGTTTCTTCAACGTCTCGATGTTGTCGAAATACGGACATTTGTCATCTGCTGGCTGCAACCAACAAAGAGACGCCGAGAGAAAAATAACAGAATTAAAAACTTCTGAGGTACCATCTAAACTCAATATATTTGTACGTTTCCCCTCCTGCTTTACTCACGTCTGCTAAATCATTCTCAAAGTCCTCGTCTTCGGCCCCGATGATGCTCATGGCTGGCTCAGAGCGTCGAGCTCCAAACTAACCCTGCTGTGGAGAGGCAGAGAGAGAAAGTCGGATTAAACAAAAGATTAGCGAATATTATAAACTTCATTACACATTTCTACCCTAACCCTGATTCTTTTGATTCCATAGATCCCTGGCTAAGCAGAGGTCAGCAGTAAACCAGATTAGAGTCTGAATAAAGTAAACTTTCTCACTGCAAGTCACGTACACAAAGCAGAAATCAGTGATAAGTCTGAACATAGTCAGATTAGCTAAAGGGAACAATAATCCCAGGAGCATTTTTTAGACCCAGCATCAATAAGCTGTAAAGATACCTGCAGCTTTTATGCTGGGACATTTAGGTTAGCAGCTGAGCTCAGGAGGGAACAGCTGTGACTTTAAATTGAGCAACAGTAAATTCTTCCTCAATCTACAACCTAACAGAGAGCTCTGTTGTAGACAGCATGACGTAAGCTCTCACATCTAAAAATGGCAATGATTTCATAAAGCTTTAGGCCAGCCCTTGTCTTTGAAATCAATGAATAGGGGAGAAAAAAAAATGCTTTAGAACATATGACAAACCCACCTCCACCCTTTACACCCTGCACCACTTCCCCTGCCCCAAAACACACAAATAAAACACAGCTCCTGTATTCAGTCCCCTGAAGGCCACAGACCCACAGCCGCCAGCAGGGAACACCCAAACACACATGAAAAAGGTAAACTGTAGGACAGGGAATGACTACAGTGGGCACAGTGTGAGAAGTGGGGGATGCTGTAAAGAAAAGGGGTGGGTGGGGGGGCTATGCACACGGCCTAGAAAGGACAGAATTCCTTGTCTTAGCTTTCGTAGTCAGACTTTAAATGTTTTAAGATTATAAAAAAATAATAACAATACTCTATGTTGCCTAGATTAAGCACAAAATGTAGTTTTTAAAAGATTTTTTTCATTTATTATGCAGGTAGAGGTATTCTGGGGAAAATACTGTCCCTAAACCTAATGAGTACAATCTAGATTTTGCAAAATGTTAATCTTGAGAATCTTCGTTGACTTTAACACATAAAAAAGCTAATTTGTCCCAAATTGTAACTCTATAGCTAAAACTTGCACATGATCTGGATCATTACCGAATTTAAGTTACTTGTTCCTTGGCATGAGGCGCACCTCTGGTAAAAAAAATTCCATAAAACACATTCATAAGTTTCCATTTATCCTGCTAACAGTCCAACAATATTCCCTTTTCTTGTGTTTTTCTCTTCAGTAGAAATCCTCCTGACTTTTTGAGTCCGATGCTGAGGCTGTAAATAGTCACTGCTGCCACCCTCTGGTATAGTGGGGAACTGCATGTTTCGTCAAATATTTCAACAAATATCCCCATCATACAATGGGAGAGAATCTTTAAAAAAATTCCTGTATCCAGATCATGATCTGGAGCCTCTTCAACATTTAATGAATTGTTCCTCAGCATAAGGGACACCTCTGATAATTAATTAGATTTTTAAATTGTCCATTACACAAACACACAAACTTACTTAAAAACATAACCTTCTTAGCGGAGAAATAAAGCTCTTAAATGTATTTATTTTAACACATAATAAATACAGATTATGAACCTTTGTATTTACTGTTTCTTGCACACCGTAAATCTGACACACAAGTAGCATTACAAGTGTTGGTCCACTACTGGGGGTATTTAAGCTTAAAAACCATCTCAGTGCAACTCATGTTTGGAGTAACACAGATGTTTGCAATGCTAAGGTTAGCGTAAACTGTTGTGGCACAAATTCACCAGCCGGCACATACCGCACCTGATGACGAGTATTAAAGCCAACAGAAGCATGTAGACGAAAACAAAAACTAAACAACTTCCTGGTTATGTGGGTTGCAACATGGATTGTTTGTCTTAGTAACTGGGAAAAGCAGCCTCAGTGATTGATATGATTTAAATGCACCAAATGTTAAGGCTTGAAAAGCAATGCTTTATGCATAGCTATACTGTTGAAGTTATGCTGTAACTTTTAGAAATGGAGCTTCTGTTTACAGCAAATGTTAAAGGATATATTCTATGCATGGCTTCTATTCATTTCAACCATATTCAATTGAAATGTGCTTGAATTAATGTACTGTTCACACTTCTAAAAGATGTTGAAGGAGATATCAGGTTTTTTTTTAAAAAAAACAAGTTCAATTACTACAACTTTCTAGCGCAGCAACTAATTATTATTCTGTTATGGATTAATCTGTTGATTGATTTTTGGATTTATCGATTAATAATCAGGCAGCAGAAGGTTCCTTAAAATCCAGTTGAAGCTGAAACTAATCCACCTAAGGATTTCTGGATAGAGCATTTTAACAGACAATTTTCTTTTTTTTTAATCTTGAATACAAAATGTTAAGTTTGTTTTTACAATTTTGGTATAATTACTGCTCTGGTTGGTTGCTTTTATGGTGAATAGCACGTTTTTGGAGTCTCTATGCTACATTTAAAGAATAACCAATTACTAAATTAGTTGACCATTATATGAATAACCAATTAATCATGATTAATCCCATTAAGTGTTTCAGCCCTACAACTTTCAACCAATCTGAGGGTTGAACAACCCAAATAATTAACTCAAAACAACAAATGTGTATTAATGTGCTCATAGGTTTATTTATTCAACAATCTAATGGAAAGGAATGTTTATTTTTTCAGTATATATTTTTGTGGTAAAATAAAATTAATTGCAATCAATCTATAAATGACCCTGTAAATAACTTGATTAAAACTTTTGTTGATATTATGATTCTAAATAATGTTTAGGACAAGCTACACTATACTGAAAAGTTCCAACGGCTGTAAAGTAAAAATATGAAAGATGTTGATACTAAACTTGATTTGTGCTTTTATTTGCTTATTTTTAAGCAAATAATATAATATAAAATAATAGAATAGAATAGAACAGAACAGAGCAGAATAGAATAGAATAGAACAGAACAAAGCAGAGTAGAATAGAATAGAACAGAGCAGAATAGAATAGAATAGAATAGAAAATCCCTTTGTTTGATTTCCCCAGTACAATTCTGGAAATACTGTCCTTTAATATGACGACAAACTCTTAGAAAAGCTGCTTCTTAGCAGAATTGTAATTGAGAACAGGTTTACTTTTTAATGTTTCTAAAAACACCGAGCATAGATAGATACACACTAAAGAAGAAAATAAAAGACCATATCCTGCATCTTAATGACCATTGTGTTATAATAGTTTCACTTTATTGCTTCATCAGCTCTGTAATCAAGTTTGCTGCTGCACATCTAAAAACTAAGAAGGTTGTGTTACTTTCTAAAAGGCCAGGGCTTATTTAAGTGATTAGGTAATCTGTCCTGCAGAATACAAACTGGAACTTCTTGTAACAAACGCTGCAGCAGCTGAGCTGAAGAGAAGACCAGCAAGTGAACATTTGGGCCTAAAAGGATAATGTGTTACAAACAGGAAACATGGGCAAGCAGGAGGATTTACATTCTAGAGCTTACTAGCTTCATGACTGAGTGAGGAGATCTTCAAAACCTGAGCTCCTACTATGTGGTCTTGGTCTGGAATGCTTCAGATTTATCAAAAGTTGTCCAAGTAACAAACAATGATGGAGCCAAATTTCACTGAGGAACTTAGGGAGTGAGGCTAAGCCCATAGTGTCTGATTTAACAGCTGAGCTTCTTTAGCTTCATTTTTAAAGAGGTTTATGCTGATTCTGATTAAAATGTAATGACATAGAACAGTGCATGAGGGAGCAGCATTTCTACAGAACAATGAAGGTACCCGTGCTGAAACCATGTCCACCGCTGAAAGAACCAGATATGGGCAGGTTAGCATCAGAAATAGGGCACTTGGCAAAGGAAGAAGGTAGTCTGGTCTGATCAGTCAGCCATCTTTTCCGTTATGGAGGATCAGTTTCCTCATGTGGGACCAGGATACACTGGGGAGAAGCATAACTGGTTTGGGTGGTATGATACTTTGGGTAATGTTTTGCTAAGATCCACATGGATCTTACTTTGATACGGTCCATTACCAAAGCATCGCTGGCTACCATGTCCATAATTTAACAGAGGAAGTGTTTCCTGATGCCTGCCTCTTAGTTTATGCGACAAAGCAATATCAGACATATATTGCACAGGTTTGACTATTTAAATGGATGGGTGCCTATTCAGGAGGAACTAATAATCGTCTTAATTTCTGGTTGGAAATGGTGGCCCAGTAAAATCCAATGTTAGGTACGTTGCGTTTGTGCAGCAATGCGGTTGTTCTGTTATGAGCTTCAGGGTCATGGTGAGCTCTTCCTGCGCCTCAGCTAAACAGACCTGCCAGGATGGGAGATAGAAAGTTGAACTGGAAGCCAGAAAGAGAAAATGTGTTCATTCATGACTGTATACAGTGGGCTGCAGGTTCACCAAGGCCAGCGCGGGAGCAGCATGTGTAGGAGGGGTTAGCTAAACACAGAGTCACAGACTGGTGACAGCAAAGACTGCACATCTGCCCTCCTCCACAAACACAACGCTGAACATACTGTCGCCACTGAGGACAACCAGCAGCTTGAAAGGCTAAATGCTTTTTGGCTGCAGTTTCTCAACAACAGGGCTGCTACTAAATTGTTTCAATCAGCGTATTTGTAATTTATTGTTTTTTCAAATTCTCTAACATAGTTTGGTGCTCAGAGGAACCATATGGGGTGAACACTGCATCCCAGCAGTGTTTTATGATCATCATACCGCACACAGCTTTGATTATTGGTCACTCTACTCTGTTAAAGGAACAGGTTCTCTAGGAATATATACAGAGGCTGCTGTTTTAACAACGCTAGCTAAACTGGCATACCGTGACAACCTCTGGGCTGCAATAGCGTTGCCACAGCAGCGAGACTTGCAAACAAAGGTCTAGTCCTCAATGTAGCTATCCTGGGTTTAAATCCTGTCCCTGGGACATTTGCTATCTTGCACGTCTTCCTCCCTCTACCCTGTTTCCCTTTCTGTCTAATATCAAATAAGAACTACTGGTGAAAATAAAGGGGA